TCAATGACTGACTGCTGTTGTGCAATGTCCAGACAGCTGGGTGAGGCCTAAAACACACCATCATTCATACTGAGTTGATCCCCTTTTAAATCTCTTGTCCTCATTTCTCTGTTTTTTTGTTTAAAGAGCACCCAGGCCTCGTCTGACGCAGTACGACTTCTAAACCTTGGTCATTTCCTGCACTGGCAGCTAGAAGGTTCCTCTTGCAGGATAAACACTGAAACTCCAACAGTTGTTCTGGAATGAGTTGATGTTTCCTGTTCGATAAGCCTCCCAAACAACACCTGCCGCCCTTAGTTAAGGCGGTTTTTCACCGGACGGTGACTGTTGGAGACTAGCTGGCAACTCAAACGTGCAAGAAAATAAGCAAACTTTCTCTTATAGTCTCACTGGATTTTGACTTTTTGTGACCAAACATAAGCGAGCAAAGCAGCGACGCTTGATTGAAAAATAAATTAAAAATCACCATTTTTGTTTGCGTTCTTGGCATATGTTGCATAATATTTTATTGCCCGTCTCCATCTACATCATTCATGCTTTGGTTTTCTCTGTACCCAACTTAACTGCCACCCCCACATTTACAACTTTTGCAATGAAGACAGGCAGATTTGAGTCTTTCTGTAGTTATTTTTAATTAAAGTGGTTTTTAGACCTGAACATTACTCAGATTTATGTCAGAGGAGAGTTTCCAATGCAGATGTCAAATTGCAGTTCCAGCCCTCTTGCTGGGTTGAAATTCAATTCGAATTCAATTTAAATAAAAATAAAAACTTTATGAATCCCAAAGGGAAATTAAATGTTGCTGTAACTCATCATCCTGGTTTCATTAAAGAGTTGTTATAGATGTTGTGCAGTCTGTCCCACAGCAGATCCAAAAAACTGGCTGCAGATGCTGATCTGTCCACCCGGACCCAGCAGACCTCTCGGTCCTCTTGGGCAGCAGGACTGCCTGCATGCTGAGCAGAACTCCTCCTCAAGCGATGGCCACTCCTTCCAGCAGCCTGTTGAGCCCCTCGTCCCCACGGACTTAACTGCAGGTGTCGAGGGACGATCCTGGTCCTCCCGCTATCACAAGCCCAATTTTCAGCAAGCTCCAGGATCTTGGCGCTCAGGCACTCGAGCACTGTCACCAGGTAGATGGGAATGCATCCACGGCACCTCCTTTTCAACCGAAGACGTCCATGGCACTATTCGAGTGAGTTTGAGACACCTATGACAACTCTGTGATTATTTTGATAGAAATTTTTGTCTCCATCATTGTCTAAACATGTTCAGAACTCTAGCAAAAGGACTGTGTGTGCCTGCAACTCATGTGAAGAAATTAACGTGCACGTCGTAAGAGATTCTGGAGGATCCCGTATTAATGTCGTTCGTCAATTAGTTGCATGTTAGTGAGACACTACCTTTGTCGACTTTGACAAAATGCTACTGGCTGCTGAAATGAGACTGAAGTTTCTGTATGCCAACAAATTATATTACAAATAGATACATGGGAACCCAGTTGGTTGGCTGCAGAACAATTTTTAAGTCCTGCCACTTCGAGTAAATAAATGGGATATTGTCCTGAATAAAAATAAAAATACACTCCAAGTTATTTTTTTAGATGTTGGTCTTTGTTGATTCATGTGATGTATGTTTAAATATGCATTTCTTAAAGATGTTTAGCTTCAATTAGTTCTTCGAGGCTGTTGACGATTGTGACATGTCGATGAGTTAAAGGGGATGCAAGAAGGACTTTTAAAACTACAAAGTATGTTGCAGCCTAGCGTGTACATCTAGAGCACACTAGACACAACTCTAGAGCATCCTCCAACAAAAATACAAGTTCACATTAATAAATATCTGAAGCGCCACAGCAGGGTCTCCCTTTACACCTTCAAAAAGTTCCTGGAAACTTGTATCTTTAGAGAAAATCTCCTCGTCCTTCATTTATAAAAGCCTGATCTGCACATTTTAAGGTTATTCTGTACTTCTGTTTTTTTTAACTGTCATCAATTTACCACTAACTGTTTGGTTTAGCGCAAAATATTTGGTTGACTGGTGAAAAGTTTTTGATTAAATAACTTTCTTTGCACTGACTGCAGTAGCTCAGTAGCATCACTGTCATAACCCTGAGAATGTGGATTTGAGCCCAGGTTGCAGGATGGGCATCTGGCATTAAACAATTGCCAAGTTAGCTCACTGTAATGACGGCAGCAGCAGGGCGCAGCCAAAAGAAAAACAAAAACAACTTTCCTCACACTGAGATGGTGAGTTATGTTGAATGTAATGCAAACCACCAGCTCATTTAGAGCAAATGCTTTTAAAATGAATACATCTTGCAAAATCTCTGCATGACAATCAAATGGAACGTGTTTAACGCATAATAACTTCGCTTAAAGAATGACTAAAATTATTATGTACTTTGCACTTGTCATGATTCTGATATTGTTTTCTTTTCCTCAAGGGATGCACTACTCAGACGCTGCTGGCATGAAAGTACATGGAAATGAAAGCAGAAGACAAAAGATAACAATAATTTGCATTTTGGTACGGGAAGGATTAGTGGTTTCGAGTTCAAACCAACATCAGGGATTAAAGGAGAACTTAGTCAGTTTCTTTATTGCCCACAGGTCGAAACAAAAGGGGGATAATGTTTTTGTTGGTGTCTCTGTGCATGTTTGTACTCTGACCACTAACTGATCTTGAAATATATTTTTAAAACGTTGCCATTAATAAACACAATAAACTGCATGCCTGTTAGAAATATAGACACTAAATGAATTTTGATCAAACTTTCAAAAGTTAAGTACTGGATTATGCAATGGCGTTGTTTTCCTTGATGTTTCATTAAAATGCTTTAGCAGGTAAAATCAACAGCATACAAAAACTGAAACATTTGTGAAAGTAAAAAACTTAAAGCAGGGTGTATGTACTCACATGGGGGCTCGTGATTCATGCGTGCATGAAGCCTAGAACCAGTCAGCTACTGAGATGGTTCAGTACCCAGAATATTATGTCCCAGTGTCACCTTTTGCAAATCATTGTAAGATATGTTTTGCATTTACAAATGTCCTTTCTACAGGCAGACAACATATTATTTTTTGCATCCACAACAAATATTTTGAACAGATTAGGTTTTGAAGTCAAGCAATTCAAGATGACTGCCACCGCTATTTGACCTTGGCTGTTATTAAAAAAAATGGATATAACTCTTAATTTTACAGATATTGACCTAATTTGTGTAGAAGTAGTTGATAATCATCCTCAGTACACACAAACTGCTAACACATCTCAGATTATTGCACGAGATTGCACATACGTATGTTCATAAAAATGACTGGAAGACAGGATTTCCAGCAGAATATCGCCCAAAGCGTCACACTGCTCCTGCTGGCTCGACCTCTCAACAGAGAGCATCAAGTTGCCAAATCCTCCCGAGGTAAGTGACACACACACCAACCTGGCCATCCACGTGAAATAAAAGAAAACATGATTTATCAGACCAGACCACCACCTTCCATTTCTCTGTAGTCCAGTTTAAACAGACTTCCAGTCGCTGCAAATGGCACATTCTTCTCCACACTTCTCTCATTTCTCTGTGTCTCCTGTTTTTAGTTCAGCTTGTAACAAAAGGAGCAGATAATCTGTCCTCAGGCGGGCAGCTTTCCCATTCTGTCTTCGCTTTGTAGCTTTAGTCCATTCTTTTGATTCCTTTCAAACCGTAATTATAACAACACTGCCAAAGCATCTGGACAACATGGGCATTTTGCACAACAAAGCCAGAGTGCAGCATTTTTATGTCAATAAATCGTTATCGTATTATATTATCATATTATACTTGTACAATTACAACACAAAAAGCTGTAAAAAGACCATTTACAGCTCTAAACAGTGCGGTTTATGCACGGTGGAGGCTGTGCCGACAGACAGAGGGCACTGCTCTTCCAGCGCAATCCAAACCAGCAGAGTTCCTTGTGAGGGCAGATGGTGGAAGAAGTAAAAGGGCAGCAGAATTAACACTCACAACATGCTTTCTTTGCTCAGTAAAGCAAAGCAGAAAGCCTCTGAGTGATGAGGCAACAAGAAACAATGGGGGTTTACAGGAAACATGGCAGTAATTTGGAGCGATGCCACCAATGCCAAAATCATAGATGTGATTCAGGGTCTGCCAGTCGTCCAATTAATTTGACTTTAGCAAGCAAAGCCTTTAGAGTGGTCTTATTGTGAGTTTTATCTGTGTTCTCTCTGTCTTTATGTTTCCCTTCTTGTTTTTCTGCAACAAAAGACCAGTGAGCTCGACTTCATGCAAAGCTCCCTCTATCTCTGCTTCTCTGTTCAACCACATCCCTTCATCTTCTTCTCTGCCTTGGCTTTTATTGCTGGGTTCTGTCGTTATCCCCGGCTCGATCCGACTTAGGCTATCTCTCACTGGCTACCGTGTCACTCCGGGTTGCAGATACGTTGCAGCACCCAAATAGCAGTACTTGCACAAATAAACTCTGGATCAAAATGTGAAAAAGAAGCACATACACGGTCCGTGGATTTATGGAAAGGCATTTGCAGGTTCAAAATGGGGAGGGAAATTGGGAGAGAAGGGTCATGGACATGCTCACAGTCTTTTTCTAAACTCATACAGACAAGCAGCCTGCTTTCACACTACGACACAAATATTTCAAGACACAAGTTTAGGACACAGAGAGACACCCGGTATTAAAGCAAGGATGCTATATTTACACAGCATGATGTCACACAGACTCTAACAAACACAACAATACAACTGAGGCACATGTGCACTGATTTTTACATTTATTTCACACTCGCAGATTGCTGCCATACCGACCAAAACAACAACATGAAAAAAAAAAAACATTTTTGCATTCCTTCTGAGCAACCTTCCTGCACCCGCGTCCAACCCTTACAATAACTCGACTGTCCAACGTGCAATTTTCGCACCACGTTTTGCACAAAATTACAAACAATCCACAAAACCAAGAATTTGTGTGTGGTGGATCGCTCACCTTCCACCTCCTCCCTTCCTTTGAACCAGCGCAGCTTGGCGGGGGGCTTGCTGCCTGTACTGGTGCAGGTCAGGGTGACTGTTTCTCCGTCTCTCACTGGGTTTTCAAACCCAGAAATCTGAGGTTTACCAGGCACACCTGGAGAAACACAAAGCAACATAAAGTGTTGGAGAGTAAGCAAGCTTGACAGAGGAAACTTTTGTGCTGCAGGACCAACCTTGTAGCTAGAAACAGCAATAAATAAAGACTAGTGGCTAAGCCTCAAAGAAATACTGCACAGGGTTGCAAAATTGGGGTGTACTGAATTGGCTGAATGTAGGGATAAACAAAATGGCATCCTCAAGATCCTCAAGCTTGAATTTATTTGGTCTGTTCTGAAAACTCGGGATGGAAACCAGCTGCGGGGAAAAATAATGATGTTTTGCACCCAAAATTGTGCATATTCGTGCAGAGCAGATCAAATGACCTTCCGGGGTCTCCTACCTAGTCTCTGTGTTATTAGCGTTTGTCATGGCTGGTGCACTAGAATATTTCCGTTTTTGTTGACAAGCAACCAATTAAGGCTGAACAGATAATGACTGTTGTGTCTCAGAGGGAAAGCCTGAAGTTACACTAGTTAAACATTTTAGAGAGAAAACTGGGATTGCTGGTTGGGTTACTTGCATGGGGTTTATTGCATCTTCTTGTCTGAAATACCAAATACTTTTCCAAATTTATACCAAACTTTGTTACATGTGTTTATTAAGTATTTCTGTATTCTGTATGAAGACAGTCCTGGAATCATTAGGTGCAACATGCAACCTGGACTGACTCCTAGTTCAAAGCAAAAAGTACAAAACAAAACAAGGGGAGCATTCACGCCCACTGCCAATTTAGAATCTCCTCTGAGCTACATAATGCAAATGTTTTCCTAAATTTAAGCAGGTATTTATTTTTTTTTGTCTAAACCTAGCCAAGTACAGTATGCTTGCCTAAAACTTCAAACAAAAAAGACACATCCTGTACACAAATGATGATCAAATATTAGAGAATAGAACGCACACAAGTCAACCAGTGTTGTACTGGTTAAAACTGTGTTTTTGCCATCAAAACACTCAAAAAGGTTATTATATGTTATTTAATAAGACTGCACAGAAAAAACAACATTCAGACAAACACATCGGGGAAGGTGACCAACTTTTAATCCACCATTTGTAACATTTTGGCACTTCCTTATCATATCTTTATGTAACTTTACAATCTCCAAGTTTTCTGCACAGATTTTGATGTGCAGAGTATTTCATAGGCGTAGACAAAAAACGTTTCAATCAAAACCATACAAGAACCCTCTCTTTACAATTTTAGGACCTAGCCGTGATTATATTTTAGCGTCGCTTCATATTTTTGTCCCCTGAGTTGAAGTTTGAAGTCCTAAGGCCAAGCAAACATTTTGTAAATGCAAAGCTTGACTTCAAGGGCTAAAGACCAACTAATAAGAGTGGGGCGATAAAAGTCTGCTGATAAAAGCCAATCAAAAGGTTTAAAATCAAAACCTTGCAGGAAGGCAATGCTACAAATCACTATTCACACACGCACCAGTGATAATCAAGAAATCACTGCAACTGATTAAACTATAGTCAAAAGAACTTGCACCATATGTTTCTGTGGAACTTGATGAAACTATTTAAAGTAAGACAGCATAACCTCATAACATCTAAATTCATGCTCAGTCATCCAGGTACAAAACCCAATAATGGCCAGTCAGGTCATCTGGTCAGTTTCTTTTTTGTGGATAGACGTTTAGCTCTCTATCCGGAGGGCTTCATCAGGACAGGACAGCCCCCAGAAACCATCTTGGTCCACTAAAGGATTGTGTTGCTTAGTGGGGAAAACAGTTTACATGGGACTCCTCAGACAGATGAAGCCCTCCAGATAAAGGGTGAAACGTCTTTCCACAAAACAGAAACTGTCCAGATGA